ACTATAAAAAACATACGAAAAAACACTGCAAAGTTGCTGTTTTAATCAAAAAATCATGATTTCAGTTTTTTTCTCTCATTATACACAGTGTGCTGCAGGATCTGTTTTATGTGGTGCACACATACCACATAGATGTATTCTCTCATATCTAGGCCCAAATGTACCACTCACAGTTTATCAGAGTGAGCTGAGCTCATGGCGTAGATCTACGGTTTGGACACTCACCATAAAGCCGTAGATCTACGGGACGGACCCTGAAAGGGTTAAAGAAATGCCAGAAAAAGACCTCTCTGGACAGATACTTTGTGCGACAGGGGTCCAGTGACTCTCAAGTTGTTCCCAGTGGCATTAAAAGAAGGAGGGAAGTAACCCCAGATAAGGACTTGCTACCTAAAGTCCTAATGGAAGGAGATTCTCTTTCCAAACAATAGTGTACACCTTCCTCCTATCCCCTTCTCCCATCTTCCATCCACCCAGAAGTCTTCAGTAAAGGTAAGTGTAATGTTATTATTATTTTTTATATGCATGCACTTGATTTCTCATTGATTTCAGTATATAAATCTTTATTTAATTTGAAAAAAAAAAATATTTTAATATTTTTGGGTGTCTGGAACGGATTAATTTCATTTCTTTTATTTCTTATGGGGAAAATGGTTTCGAGTTTCGTGAATTTCGTCTTTCGGCAGGCTCTCTGGAACGGATTAATCACGAAACTCGGGGGCCCACTGTATATGGATTAGGTAGTAAGTTACTAAATGCTGTAAAGAGTTTTTATGAGGATAGTGAGGCTCAGGTTAGGGTGTGTAGAAGAGAGGGAGATTACTTCCCGGTAAAAGTAGGTCTTAGACATTGATCTGTAATGTCACCACGGTTGTTTAATATACAGTGGACCCCCGGTTAACGATATTTTTTCACTCCAGAAGTATGTTCAGGTGCCAGTACTGACCGAATTTGTTCCAATAAGGAATACATGTATGTATTGTGAAGTAGATTAGTCCATTTCAGACCCCCAAACATACACATACAAACGCACTTACATAATTGGTTGCATTCGGAGGTGATCGTTATGCGGGGGTCCACTGTATTTATAGATGGGGTTGTAAAAAAAGTAAATGGTAGGGTGTTCGGGAGAGGGGTGGGATTAAATTATGGGGAATCAAATACAAAGTGGGAGTTAACACAGTGACTTTTGGCTGATGATACTGTGCTTATGGGTGATTCTAAAGAAAAGTTGCAAAGGTTAGTGGATGAGTTTGGGAGGGTGTGTAAAGGTAGAATGTCGATAGTGAACATAGAAAAGAGTAGTAAGGTGATGAGGGTATCAGATGATTTAGATAAAGAAAAATTGGATGTTACATTGGAGAGAAGGAGTATGGAAGAAGTGAATGTTTTCAGATATTTGGGAGTTGACGTGTCAGTGGATTGGTTTATGAAGGATGAGGTTAACCATAGAATTGCTGAGGGAAAAAAGGTGAGTGGTGCATTGAGGTATATGTGGAGATGAAAAACGTTATCAATGTAGGCAAAGAAGGGAATGTATGAAAGTATTGTGGTATTGTGTGAAGCTTGGGTTGTAAATGCTGCAGTGAGGAGGCAGTTGGAGGCAGTGGAGATGTCTTGTCAAAGGGCAATGTGTGGTGTAAATATTATGCAGAGAATTCGAAGTGTGGAAATTAGGAGAAGGTGTGGAGTTAATAAAAGTACAGTGGTCCCTCAGTAATCGTCCGGCCTGAAAGTCGTCCATTTCGGAAATAGTCCTGTTATTTCGTCTAAATATTGGCTCACAAATGGTCCAGTAACTCTCTAATAGTCCTTCATCCGGGATGCGTGCTCACGTTCTGAGCCGCCTGGGCCTTCCCTTCCCAGCCAGTGTGCCATTGTTTACCAGTGAGTCGACAGTTCCATCACTTGCTCCAACGAAATATTTCATAATATTCCATTGATTTTAGTGCTTGCAAGTGCTAAATAAGCTACCATGGCTCCAAAGAAAGCTCCTAGTGCTAAGCCTTTGGTAAAGAAGGTGAGAAATACGATTGAATTTAAGAAAAACATCATTGAACAATATGATAGTGGCATACATGTGGGCGAACTGGCCAGGATGTATAACAAATCCTGTACAACCATATCTTCCATCATAGCCAAGAAAAAGGAAATCAAGGATGCTGTTGTTGCAAAGGGGGTAAATATACTGACAAAAATGAGATCACCAGTACTCGAAGATGTTGAGAAGTTATTATTGGTGTGGATAAACGAGAAACAATTAGCAGGAGATAGTCTTACGATGTCGCTTATTTGTGAAAAGGCTAGGCGGTTGCATGAGGATTTGGTAAAGAAATTGCCTGCAACTAGTGGTGATGTGAGTGAATTTAACCCTTTGACTGTCACAACCCCCAATCCTGAGGTGTCTCCTGGTGTCGCAAAATTTAAAAAAAAAAAATTATTTTTTCTTATGAAATGATAGAGAATCTTTTCCCGATTGTAATGACACCAAAAAAACGAAATTTGATGGAAAAATGACGGAATTATGCTCTCGTGAAGTTAGCGACCTCGGCGCTGTTTACAAATCGGCGATTTCGCCCACTTTGAGCCCTATTTTCGGCTAATTCCCTTGTTCCAGTCGCCCAAACTCATAGCTATTTCTTTAGAACTCCATTTTTTCTATCGATTGAGTACAAGAAACTGCCCATTTACCGATTTCAACTACCTAATAATGTGGTCAGAAATTTGCAATTTGGCCAATTTCACGAAAACTAAAAAAATATGACAATTTCAAAATAAGGTCCAGAATGAAAAATGCAGACATTCCTGGCTCTAAAATAACATTTTTTTTGTTCATCAGTCACGTCTCCAGGCCCCTCTGATATTACTCTTGCTTTCTATTTTGAATTTTTATTCAAACAAAAAATAGAAGACTTACTATTATGCAGACTACTGCAATACTGTAATAATTGTATAAATAACATCAACCCATTCATGACTGCATATTAGAATGGCTAGTTGGACATTTATTGGACAATGGCATCATTTGTTTACTTTTGAACATTGGCAAAAATCAAACATTTCCCCTACTTTGAGCTCCATTTCTAGGTTCTTTTTATAGTAAAATCAATCAAAATCACCTCTATTTCTATAATATGTTTCCCATTCTATCAAATGAGACCAAGAAAACGAGAATACAACCATAAATACTATACGAAAATAGACCACAAAGTCGGCATTTTAATTAAAAAAACGGTCGGAGTTTTTTTTTTCTCATTATGCACTGCGTGCTCCAGGATTTTTTTATATGGTGCACACTGACCACACAGACCCATTCTCTCACGTGTGGGCCTACCAGCTTTCTCCTGCTTGATTTGAAGCCGCTAGAATTTATGAGTATATATACGTCAAACACGGTACCTCGTAAGACGTATATATATGGCCGCGACAGTCAAAGGGTTAAGGCCAGCAAAGGCTGGTTTGAGAGATTTAAGAAGTGTACTGGCATACACAGCGTGGTAAGGCATGGTGAGGCTGCCAGTTCTGACAACAAAGCGGCTGAAAAATATGTGCATGAATTCAAGGAGTACATAGAGACTGAAGGACTGAAACCTGAACAAGTGTTCAGTTGTGACAAAAAAGGCCTCTTTTGGAAGAAAATGCCAAATAGGACCTACATTACTCAGGAAGAAAAGGCACAGCCAGGACGCAAGCCTATGAAAGACAGGCTGACGCTCATGTTCTGTGCTAATGCTAGTGGGGATTTCAAAGTGAAGCCATTACTAGTGTACCAGAAACAGAGCTCTCCGAACAGTTATTTTGCGAGACAGGACTCCAGTCACTCTCAAGCTGGTCCTAGTGGCATTAAGAAACAGAGAAGAGAAGTAACCCCAGAAAAGCAATTGGTACCCGAGGTGTTGATGGAAGGGGATTCCCCTTCCAAACAGTAAATAATCCAATCTGTCTCCTCCAGTCTTCCATACACAAAGAAGAATTGCCAATAAAGGTAAGTGTTATTCTGTTAATGTTTAATTCATCATGTGCCACTGTATTGTTTATGTACTACATCTATATTTCATGTAAAAAAAATTTTTGTTCTAATACTTCTGGGTGTCAGGAACGGATTAATTGCATTTACATTATTTCTTATGGGGAAAATTGATTCGAAAGTCGTCCATTTCGATAATAGTCCCACTTCCAGGAATGGATTGTGGATGATAATTGAGGGACCACTGTATTAGTCAATGGGCTGAAGAGGAGTTGTTGAGGTGGTTTGGTCATTTAGAGAGAATGGATCTGAGTAGAATGACATGGAGAGCACATAAATCTGTAGGGGAAGGAAGGTTGGGTAGGGGTCGTCCTCGAAAAGGTTGGAGGGAGGGGGTAAAGGAGGTTTTGTGGGCGAGGGGATAGGACTTCCAGCAAGCATGCATGTGCGTGTTAGATAGGAGTGAATGGAGACGAATGGTATTTGGGACCTGACGAGCTGTTGGAGTGTGAGCAGGGTAATATTTAGTGAAGGGATTCAGGGAAACCGGTTATTTTTATATAGCCTGACTTGAGTTCTGGAAATTGGAAGTACAATGCCTTCGCTATAACCCTTAAACTGTCCAAACATAGATCTATGTTCACGTGCATAGTGCTCCGAACATAGTTCTACGTTTGGTCAGTTTAAGGGTTAATGGAGGGGTTTGGGATATTGGCAGATTGGAGGGATGTGTAATAGGACAGTATATGTATATATAATTGGGGCCCTGATATTATATTCTATAGGGAGTTTATTATATTATTTCAGGTCACTTTTTATATTGTATCTTTTTTATATGCTTCTAAACTGTTGTATCTGGGCACCTGTGCAAAAACAGTGATTATGTATGAGTGAGGTGAAAATGTTGAATAATGATGAAAGTATTTTTGTTTTGGGGATTTTCTTTCTTTTTGGGTCACCCTGCCTAGGTGGGAGATGGCCAACTTGTTGAAAAAAAAAAAACTTTTTCACAATGTTTATGATATCTTTGCAGAGGCAGTTAGTAGCCCATTTCATAGCAGTTGTACAACAGAAAGCATAATCTCCAGTCCCAGTAGCCTTGAACTCACATCCAGCAGAACAAGTTTACAGTCTAGTCATTTATCATCACATCAGGTAAGTAGAGACAACTGGGCTTGTTAGTGACTGTGTACTTGTTTACAAAATCTTATAATAAATAACATTTAAGTGAGGCAGTAGTAAAGAATATAACATTAGTATGTAATAGTTTGTTTTACCATTCATTGTAAATTAAGGCAGGCATGAAAAGTCATACTTTTATGCAAAGATGGTCTTTTCTCAAGTATATTGGGTAATTGCCTAAATTTTAGTTTTTAAAACAAAAAAAGATTGTTTTGGTCTTTGCTTGCTGAAACACATTTACTGTGATCTCAATCAAAATAGGATCAGTCACGTAATTGGATGTTTTTTTCTTTTGCTTGACCTAACGAAAATGGAGCAATTGAATTGCTCCATTCATCCACTAACTTTGCACCTGCATAATTCAACCATTGCTCCATTCAACCAAATTCTTAGCTGTGTTGTTAGAATGTCTGTGTTCTGTCAGTCAAGCACAAAAAACCACCCATTCAACTATTAAAACTATCCTATAAAGTGCACAGAAGTTGGTAATTTGCATAATTTTACACAAAATTAAAAAAATTCCAATTTAAAAAGAGTCTGAAGTAAACAGTGTAGACATTCCTGGCACTAAAACATTTCCAAGCTTCTATAGTACACTTGTCTTCCATTTTAAATTCATAATTACACAAACAATCGAAGATTTACTCTACTTTTCGGATAATAAAATATAACCAGGATTGGTTGATCATCATTTATGGTGTCCCAGTAATTGAATCAGACCTATTAAAAACTCATACAATGGACCAGGGGGTGTAGGGGGCCTCACCTGTTCTCTGGAAAACCGGCAAAAATCAAATATTTCCACTACTTAGAGCTCAGTTTCAAGCTACTTCTGTCAAATGATACCAAGAAACAGCTAATAAACTCATAAAACCATCCTAGAATGCACACATCAAATTTACTATTTTAAACCAAACACAAAGTTAAGACTTTTGCCTTTCCTGTCATGCACCATGTGGTGCAGGATTTTCTTATATACTGTGCCCACTCACAGTATAGACCTATTCTCTCATATCTAGGCCAAAATTTTACTACTCACAGCTTATCTAAAGGAGCTATGCTCAAAAATGTAGATTTAAGTGAGGAACCCTGGCATCAATAATGTAGTTCTGTGATGGCCATTCAAAGGGTTAATAATTTTGCAATGTTTTACAGGAGGATCAGATTTTCTAGGAGTGTAAACAAAGTAACACTTAGGAAGGGATTAAGGGAAGCCGTTTAACTGGACTTGATTCCTGAAGATAGGAAATACAAGTACCATCCGACTTATGACCAAGTTTGGTTCCTACCAACCGGTCATAAGTCAAAATGGACCCAAGTCAAACCTTCGAAAATTGCCAACATACTGGGTAGGGCATAATAAACTTTTGCTATATAAAGTACCCACATAGTAACGTATGTTACTTTTTACTAAATATTTTACTATTGTTTATGCTGCCAGACATACGGTCATAAGTACAAGTGGTCGTATGTCGAGCAGGTCGTAAGTCAGATGGTACTTGTGCCCTACTTACACTCTGAAGGAGAGGTGAGGATGTTTTAGTTCAGAGGGTCATCTGAGCTGTTGATGTCAGCATGCTTCTAGCAAGGCAGTGGTTGAACAATTGATGGTAAAAGTGTTTCTTCTGTTATGGGTCACCCTACCTTGGTGGGAGATGGCTGGTGTGTTAAAAAATAAAGAGAAATGATTTTCTTCTATGTTAAATTTAATAAGTTAACTTGTCTGTTAAAATAATGTTTAGTAAAAAAATGCGTAATTTTTTAAATGGCATTTTGTATTGTGCAGGAAACAGGGAGTAGTAGAGTAATTGAGCACAAGGAAAGCAGCAGCAGTTTAACATCATCAACAGGTTCTTCTGGACCATCAGCTTCATCAACATGCTCATCAATTCAGCATGACAATGATCTTCATAATACTCACAAAGGATTCATTATTGCCTTCCATAGAAAAATGGTAAGATCCAAGTCTGCTGTTGTATATTCAGTATAGTTGGACATCTCTGCCTGGCAATTACAGGACCAGATTGATGATAAATTGCTAATCTTTGTTCAGAAACCAATGTACATGAATAAACTTGAGAGGACTGAATAGAATAATTCATGTCATATTTATGTAAACTTCAGGACACAGTACCTAAAATGAAAGCCAATCATTCAATCATTTTAGGAAAACTTTTCTTTTTTTGCAGGTTTTGTGGTTCAAGTTTAAGAATTGATAATGATAATCTATATTTTCTGTAGGGGAAGGAAGGCGAGATAGAGGTCATCCTTGTAAAGGTTGGAGGGAGGGGGTAAAGGAGGTTTTGTAGGCGAGGGGCTTGGACTTCCAGCAAGCGTGTTAGGTAGGAGTAAAGGAGGCAAACGGTTTTTGGGACTTGACGAGCTGTTGGAGTGTGAGCAGGGTAATATTTAGTTAATGGATTCAGGGAAACTGGTTATTATGGACTTAGCTGGACTTGACTCCTGGAAGTGGAAGTACAAAGCCTGCACTTAACCCTTTCAGGGTTGAGAGGCCCTCTCCTAAACTTGTTCTCAGGGTTGAAAATTTTTCAGAAAAAAAAATTATTTTTTCTTATGAAATGATAAAGAATCTTTTTCCTGATCACAATGACACCAAAAGTATGAAATTTGATGGAAAACTTATAGAACTATGCTCTCGCGAAGTTAGCAGTCTCGATGATGTTTACGCATTGGTGATTTCGCCCACTTTGATCCCTATTTTCGGCCAATTCCAGTGTACAAGTCGACAAAAATCATAACTGTTTCTCTAGAACTCCATTTTTTCTGTTGAATGAGTACAAGAAACCACACATTTACCAATTTCAACTATCCAATAAAGTGGTCAGAAATTGGCAATTTTGCCAATTTCACACAAATTTCAAAAGATGCCAATTTCCAAATAGGGTCCAGAATAAACAAGACAGACATTCCTGGCACTAAAATAACATTTCCTCTGTTCATTTCTCACGTCCCCAGGCCCCTCTTACATTTCTTTTGCTTTCCACTTTGAATTTTTATTCTCACAAAAAATAGGAGATTTACTGTTATGCAGACTACTGCATTAGTGTAGAAATGGTATAAATAATATCATCACACTTGTGAAAGAATAGTAGACTCACGGCATGATTTGTTTACTTTTGAACTTTGGCAAAAATCGAACATTTCTGCTACTTGGAGCTCAATTTCAAGGTGCCTTTCATTGTGAAACCATTCAAAATCATCTCAGTTTCTGTAATATGTCATCCATTCTATAAAATGAGACCTGGAAAACTAGAATACAACCATAAATACCATACAAAAATACAGTGCAAAGTCACTGTTTTAAACTAAAAACATGGTCAAAGTTTTTTTTTTCTCTACGCAATGTGTGCTGCAGGAATTTTTTTATGCTGTCCACACCGACCACATAGACCCATTCTTTCATATGTAGGCCTACCAGCTTTCCCTCGCTAGATTTGAAGGCGCTAGAATTTACGTGTACTAGTGCTGTATAGCCCTTGTGGTTTAGCACTTCTTTTTGATTATAATTATAATAATAATAATAATACGTGTTCTAGTACTTCAATAACTCTGGTGCGTAAGACATACTGGTGCGTAAGACGTACTAGTACGTCGGAAACCCTGAAAGGGTTAAAGGAGGGGTCTGGGATATTGACAGTTTGGAGGGACTTGTAAACTGTACTATCTGAGTGCTTCTGCAAAGACAGTGATTATGTATGAGTGAGGTGAAAGTGTTGAATGATGATGAAAGTATTTTTTTGGGTCACCCTGCCTCAGTGGGAGATGGCCAACTTGTTGGAAAAAAAAATTGTAGTAACTAAAAAATAGATGCAAGTTAAAGGTTAATTCATAAAAACTGATAGTAAGAGATATAATTGTCTAGTTTAGCAGGACAAGAGGTACTAGTTACTTCAGTAACAATACAAAATATAGCGATATAGTATGTGCTTATCTTACAATATATAGGTGTGTTAAGGAGAGGTTGAAGCAAGACCAGGGATGGGATTGGATAAAAAACCTGCAGTTTTCAGCACTTGTTTATCATAGTACAGTAAACTTTTGATATAATAGGCTAATGGGGGTGTAGTCCAAGTGTCATTTAAATTAGATTGATGTTAAAAAGTAGCAATAAATGTACAATTTACAGATTTTTCATTCAACACACCGGCTGTATCCCACCAAGGCAGGGTGGCCCAAAAGGTAAAATGAAAGTTTCTCCTTTCAAATTGAGTAATATATACAGGAGAAGGGGTTACTAGCCTCTGGCTCCTGGCATTTTAGTCTCCTCTTACAGCACACATGGCTTACAGAGGAAGAATTCTGTTCCATTTTCCCATGGAGATAAGTGGAAATAAAGAAGAACAAGAACTAGTAAGAAGAATGAAGAAAACCCAGAGGGGCTTGTGTATATATATGCTTGTACATGCATGTGTAGTATGACCTAAGTGTAAGTAGAAGTAGCAAGATATACCTGTTATCCCGTGTGTTTATGAGACAGAAAAGAGACACCAGCAATCCTACCATCATGTAAATTACAGGCTTCCATTTTGCACTCACTTCGCAGGATGGTAGTACGTCCCTGGGCGGTTGCTGTCTATCAACCTACTTCTTAGGACAATTTACAGATCTTTCTTTCTTTCAACACACCGGCCGTATCCCACCGAGGCGGGGTGGCCCAAAAGGAAAAACGAAATTTTCTCCTTTTACATTTAGTAATATATACAGGAGAAGAGGTTACTAGCCCCTTGCTCCCGGCATTTTAGTCGCCTCTTACAACACGCATTGCTTACGGAAGAAGAATTCTGTTCCACTTCCCCATGGAGATATAAGGAAATAAACAAGAATAAGAACTAGAAAGAAAATAGAAGAAAACCCAGAAGGGTGTGTATATATGTGCTTGAACATGTATGTGTAGTGTGACCTAAGTGTAAGTAGAAGTAGCAAGACATACCTGAAATCTTGCATGTTCATGAGACAGAAAAAAGGACACCAGCAATCCTACCATCATGTAAAACAATTACAGGCTTTCGTTTTACACTCACTTGGCAAGACGGTAGTACCTCCCTGGACGGTTGCTGTCTACCAACCTACTACCTACAACAATTTACAGATACACTGCAATAAACATTGAAAATAAATTATTTAAAAATTGTATCAAGTGTTGTACAAATGACTTAAATTTTAATTTTGTTCATCAGATGCGGCAAGAAGTGTATTTCTTATCATCACAAAAGACCAGACCCAGTTTATTTGGGTTGCCTCTTGTTGTTCCATGCAGTACCTCAGCTACACATCAGGTAAGTAGCAACTTGCCATCTCTTGTCAATTATTAATGATAATTGTAATATAAAAGGATCTTAATTTGTCTTTATTATACTTTATATGTCATAGGATCTGAATCTATGTATTTTATACCATTAATATAAAAGAATTACCATAATATATGCAATCCATGGTATACATTATCAACATGCTGGCGAATAAGATGCATGTGCAATACTTCGGTATTTTGGTCAAAATGTGTCACCTAGTTCAGTTGAATACAGGCAAACATAACACTGGAAATCTAAGAAGAAATGCTTTTGAGGTGATCAGTCCATCAACCTTGGCAGGTGGCAGTTAATCCCTAAAGGACTGACCCCTTCCTATCAGTGCTGATGGACTGATCACCTGAAAACTGCTACTGCTGTCTTCAGTGTTTGACTGAATGTGCCTGTTGTTTAGGAGAAACACTTTGTCAGTAAAGATAACCAAGTGTTGCACATGTTTTAATTCATTTCTTTAACTGCTTCTTATTTATCATCCTCCTCCATAGAGGTCCAAACACATTTTACCTTTCTCTCCTTATATTTGAGGAAAGTTTTAATTATTGATACTGATGGGCTCTATGACAGGGGCACTGTATATGGGAGATGGCCAGTATGGTAAAAAATAATTTAATAATCTTTTAATTTAATTACAATAAAGGATTTATTTACATAACTCCTCAAGGGAGGATATATGATGCTGGCTGGCTCTTGATCAAAGGAATTGGCCTTGTCCTTCCCTCTCCTGTGTTGAACCTAATTGCCTTCTATTCCCTAGGAAAAGTGTACGGTAGGGTTATTATTGAAAGAATTAGAGGTAAGACAGAGAGTAGGGTTGTGGATGAGCAAGGAGGCTTTAGAGTGGGTAGGGGATGTGTAGATCAAGTATTTATAATTGAAGCATATATGTGAACAGTATTTAGATAAAGGTAAGGAAGGCATATGATAGAGTGGATATGGGAGGAATGTGGCAGATGTTGCAAGCATATTCAATAGGTAGTAAGTTACTAAATGCTGTAAAGAGTTTTTATGAGGATAGTGAGGCTCAGGTTAGGGTGTGTAGAAGGGAGGGAGATTACTTCCCAGTAAAAGTAGGTCTTAGGGATGTGTAATGTCACCACGGTTGTTTAATATATTTATAGATGGGGTTGTAAAAGAAGTAAATGCTAGGGTGTTCGGGAGAGGGGTGAGATTAAATTATGGGGACTCAAATACAAGATGGGAGTTGACAGTTACTTTTTGCTGATGATACTGTGCTTATGGGAGATTCTAAAGAAAAGTTGCAAAGGTTAGTGGACGAGTTTGGAAGGGTTTGTAAAGGTAGAAAGTTGAAAGTGAACATAGATAAGAGTAAAGTGATGAGGGTCTCAAATGATTTAGATAAAGAAAAATTGAATATCACATTGGAGAGCATGAGAATGGAAGAAGTGAATGTTTTCAGATATTTGGGAGTTGACGTGTCAGTGGATAGGTTTATGAAGGATGAGGTTAACCATAGAATTGATGAAGGAAAAAAAGGTGAGTGATGCGTCGAGGTATATGTGGAGACGAAGAACGTTATCTATGGAGGCAAAGAAGGGAATGTATGAAAGTACAGTGGTACCAACACTCTTGTATGGGTGTGAAGCTTGGGTTGTAAAGGCTGCAGCGAGGAGGTGGTTGGAGGCAGTGGAGATGTCCTGTCTAAGGGCAATGTGTGGTGTAAATATTTTGCAGAGAATTCGAAGTGTGGAAATTAGGAGAATGTGTGGGGTTACTAAAAGTATTAATCAGAGGGCTGAAGAGGGGTTGTTGAGGTGGTTTGGTCATTTAGAGAGAATGGATCAAAGTAGAATGACATGGAGAGCATATAAATCTGTAAGGGAAGGAAGGCAGGGTAGGGGTCGTCCTCGAAAAGGTTGGAGGAAGGGGGGTAAAGGAGGTTTTGTGGGCGATGGGCTTGGACTTCCAGCAAGCATGTGTGAACGTTTTAGAAGTAAATGGAGACAAATGGTTTTTGGGACCTGACAAACTGTTGGAGTGTGCGCAGGGTAATATTTAGTGAAGGGATTCAGGGAAACCGGTTATTTTTATATAGCCGGACTTAAGTACTGGAAAGGGGAAGTACAGTGCCTGCACTATAGAAGAGGATATTGGCAGTTTGGAGGGATATGTTATATATCTTTGTATATGCTTCTAAACTGTTGTATCTGGGTGCCTCTGCAAAGACAGTGATTATGTATGAGTGAGGTGAAAGTGTTGAATGATGATGAAGGTATTTTCTTTTTGGGTCACCCTGCCTCGGTGAGAGATGGTTGATTTGATGGAAAAAAAAAATTGTAATCTCTACAGGTTTACTGTTTCTCCCAAAATAATATAATAATAATGATGATGATGATATTAAGTCAGTGCAACCTCGGTTTTCGTATGCCCCAGTTTTCATAGGATTCGGTTTTCTACGACTTTTTCTGTCAAAATTTTGTCCCAGTTTTTGTACATCACCTAGGTTTTCATAGAGTTGACAGTGGTCTGTACCGAACGTGTCCGCCTGCCTACCCGTGTCACTCGGCCACTCAAGTGCCGAGTGACTCAGTCTGCCTTTGTTTATCGTTTAGTGAGCATCACCCTGCGCGTTCAGCTGAAACATTTCATAATAATCCATTGTTTTTTGTGCTTGTTTATTGAGTGCGACTACTAAATAAGCCACCATAGGGCCAAAGAAAGTTCCGAATGCCAGACTCTACGCCTGTTGCGGAATCTATTGTGTCTTTGGGGAAGTCCATGGGGTTGGACGTAAGTGGCCAGAATGTGGAAGAGTTGGTGGACAACCACAGGGAAGAGCTAACCACTGAAGAGCTGCAACGCCTTCAACTGGAACAGCAACAGATCGCAGCTGAGGAAATTGCTTCAGAGGAGGAGGAAGAGAGAGGGGAGAATGTGCCTTCTTCAGTGATTAAGGTCATGTGTGCAAAGTGGAGTGAGTTGCAAAGTTTTGTGGAGAAAGATCGCCCTAACAAAGCTGCTGCAAGCTATATCTACAACACGTTCAATGACAGTACCTTGTCCCATTTTAGGCAAATCTTAAAGAGACGCCAGAAACAAACCCCTCTGGACAGATTTTTTGTGCAACAGGGGTACAGTGACACTCAAGCTGGTCCTAGTACCAGTAAACGACAAAAAAGGGAAGTAACCCCAGATAGGGCCTTGATACCTGAAGTCCTTATGGAAGGGGATTCCACTTCCAAACAATAACCTCTCCTTCCTCTCCCTTCCTCGCTGTCTTCCATACGCCAACAAGAGTCTTCAATAAAGGTGAAAGTGATGTTAAATGTTCATTTATCAATTTCATAAGTCATTTATATGTATTTATTTCTCATTTTTTCTGTATGTAAAACTATAGTTATTCTCTATAAAATGTATTTTTAGTAATATTTTTTGGTGTGTGGAATGGATTTATTGGATTTACATTATTTCTTATAGGAAAGATTGCTTCAGTTTTCATACAGTTCGGTTTTCATCAGACTTTGTGGAATGAATTAATCACGAAAACCAAGGTTCCACTGTAATTGGTCAGACCCCCCACCCCATGTCCTGGCCTGAGGTAGAGACCATATGATTAATTTGTTAAGCCAAAATTACAAATAAGTGAATCTAATTTTTCAATAAGATCCAGTGTTATAAAATAAGTTGGTCACTGGTACAATAATAATCCGTATTTATTTCACTTTTTTTTTCCTTCAATGAACCGGCTGCGTCCCACCAAGGCAGGGTGACCTAAAAAGAAAAACGAAAGTTTTTTTTTTTTAAATTCAGTAATTTATACAGGAGAAGGGGTTACTAGCCCCTTGCTCCTGGCATTTTAGTCTCCTCTTATGACACACATGGCTTACAGGAGAAGAATTCTTTTCCATTTCCCCCATGGAGTTCCCATTTTTTATGAAATTAAAATAATATGTGCACTAGAGATAGGTCCATTGCTTAGAGGCATAGTGGTGTTATACCTCAGTTTTATGAATGCTTAACACAAAACACTGAAAAATTATCACATTTATTTTTGTTACTGTTGGGTTGAAGGGTTATGACAGTTCCTAGGCTGGCTGTTGTTGGGGAAAGTGTTGTGATGACCCTTTAAACACTTCTCCTATATTTAACAATAACCACTACCCCACCATTGTCACCACTAACCAGAGCCAGTGCCACAGCACCACCACCTCCACTCCAAGTAAAAGCAACATAACCATGTGTCATACGTGTTCGTTTGTTGGTTTCATTTGCCTGATTATTAAAGGAATCACAGTCTCCGTTTTCTTGTGACTTGGCACCTGACTCTAGAAATGGAAATGGGCCATAAGATTTTGTTCAAAATAGTCTTGTTCAATTCCCCAAACCCACCCTCTTTTCTTTTGGTTAGCTTTTTTTTATGGAAGTCATCAGAAGTTAGATTAGAATGATATTTAACAAGATATTGTGAAAAAATAATGAAGCACCCTTGTGATAATATCTCCAGTTCTTTGTTCAGGAAAAGGTCACTAATTGAGGTGGAAAGTTTGGATCCAGCAGATTTGGTTGGTAAAAAAGACTAAACTGGTTTTGAAGAAGAGGAATATCCTAGTTGTTGTTTTTTTTTCCCCCCAGACTAAAATTCCACTAAACGAAAATTTTTAACTGAGGGATGACAGTAACAATAATTATAATACCAATGATGATGATGATAATTTAAGATGTGTAACACATTCTTAAATTATCATCATCATCATTATTATAGAATAATAGAGAAAACTATTGAGAGAAATAAATCAATATTTTGTAAATTTTTTAGAATAATTTCTTGTGGATTCTTATAATTAAGTATTCCTTGTTGCCAGATTGTTATATAATTTTTCTAGACTTTATGCAGCATGTTTCTTGAATGTATGATAGTTTTCATGTTAAGATATATTATAATAAAGATGTTAGTAAAAGAAAATCATACTTCAGGATTTGTATCAAGGTGTGTGGACGCAAGTGTCCAGATTAGTCTCACCACTACCTCCAACTGAAGCTGCTGTACCCAACCATGCTCATGATTGGTAAGTATTTTTCTATTATTTAGAATCTGTGTATCTGTACACCTGTTATAACAGTACTCTCTTGAGTGATGTACAATCAAGCAACACAATTTCATCAAAATATAAAGTAAATTTTATGACAGTTTCAAGTAGGACAGGAAGACGACCATATAGCAGGCCATAAATTTAAGGAAAAATATTCGTTGATGCTGGATTATCTCCCTCCTCCAGGCAATTAGCCTACAATGTGACCATTGTGTTTATGGGATAGGCCTAATATCACTTGATGTAAACAACTTCCCACACTTCCAGTTCACTGTATGCACACTTTCCATTCCTTACTCGGTTGACATAAGAACATAAGAATGGAGGAACACTGCAGAAGGTCTACTGATCCATACAAGGCAGGTCCTAGTCAAAACGACCCCTACCCAAAGCTACCCAAGAATATCCACCCGTACCCAATGACGCCAATCAAACCCAGCCCCTCCCACTCATTTTTTTTTTTTTCAACAATCGGCCGTCTCCCACCGAGGCAGGGTGACCCAAAAAGAAAGAAAATCTCCAAAAAGAAAATACTTTCATCATCATTCAACACTTTCACCTCACTCACACACAATCACTGTTTTTGCAGAGGTGCCCAGAATACAACAGTTTAGAAGCATATACGTATAAAGATACACAACATATCCCTCCAAACTGCAAATATCCCAAACCCCTCCTTTAGAGTGCAGGCATTGTACTTCCCATTTCCAGGACTCAAGTCCGGCTATATAAAAATAACCGGTTTCCCTGAATCCCTTCACTAAATATTACCCTGCTCACACTCCAACAGATCGTCAGGTCCCAAATACCATTCATCTCCATTCACTCCTATCGAACACGCTCATGCATGCCTGCTTGAAGTCCAAGCCCCTCACCCACAAAACCTCCCTTACCCCTTCCTTCCAACCTTTTCGAGGACGACCCCTACCCCGCCTTCCTTCCCCTACTGATTTATACACTCTCCATGTCATTCTACTTTGATCCATTCTCTAAATCTAAATCTAAATTTATCCAACTTTAATCTATTATTTCTGGTTCTTACCTGGTTCGACACCCTCGGTACTTTATTAATATCACCTTTGTTTATACCCATCATCTACTTATACACTTAAATGATATCTCCCCTCATTCTACGTCTCACCAGAGAGTGGAGATTCAAGGCTCTAAGTCTGTCTTCATATGGGAGATTCCTTACACAGTAAATCATTTTAGTCATTCTTCTTTGTGTATTCTGTAATGAGTCTGTATCCATCCTGTAGTAAGGAGACCAAAACTAAGTGGCATAATCTAAATGAGGCCTCACTAGTGATGTACAGAGCTGTAAAATAACTTTTGAACTTCTGTTACTTATACTTCTTGAAATAAATCCTAGTAATCTGTTAGCCTTATTCTTCACACTTAGGCACTGCTGTCTTGGCTTTAGATTTCTGCTCACCATGACTCCCAAGTCTTTTTCACATTCTGTATGATCAAATTCTACTTCACCTAGTTTATAGCTTCAAGGGTTATTTTCATTCCCAAGGACTAGTACCTTACACTTATCCACATTGAACTTTGTCTACTATTTTTCAGGACCATTTGTCCAAATCCTCCTGGAGTTCGTTGGAATCCTCCTCAGAATGAATCATATGGCCTATCTTCGTATCATCAGCAAATTTGCTCATGTCACTTGTAATTTCTTCATCAAGGTCATTAACCCTTTCAGGGTCGACAGGCCCTCTCTCAAACTTGTTCTCAGGGTCGAAAATTTAAAAAAAATAAATAATTTTTTCTTATGAAATGATAGAGCATATTTTTGTGAGCATTTTAGGCCCCCCCCCAAAATTTTGCGATCAATACTTACCGAGATACGGAGGCATGAAGTTGATAAAGTGAGCCGCTTATGGCAACATCGCCAACTGCCGGTCACGTGGTAATAGTTTATTTATTTTTTCCTATGTTTTTCTTTTATTTTTTAACATTTCATTTTTTCAAGTAACCTTTATTGCCTATGAGAGCAATATAAGCCATATTTTGGATATACGGTGGACCCTCGACCAACGATATTAATCCGATCCAGAGAGCTCATCGTTAGACGAAATTATCGTTAGTTGAATTAATTTTCCCCATAAGAAATAATGGAAATCAAATTAATCCGTTCAAGACACCCAAAACTATAAAAAATAAATTTTTACCACATGAAATATTCATTTTCCTACGCACAAACAGAAGGATAGATGCACACTACGTGTATACATATGTATATTGTGTAATGAAGAATAAATGACACTTACCTGGCCTTAACCCTTAAACGGTCCAAACAGATCGACGTTCAAATTCGTAGTTTACCCGTAGTTTACCTGGAGAGAGTTCCGGGGGTCAACGCCCCCGCGGCCCGGTCTGTGACCAGGCCTCCTGGTGGATCAGAGCCTGATCAACCAGGCTGTTGCTGCTGGCTGCACGCAAACCAACGTACGAGCCACAGCCCGGCTGGTCAGGAACCGACTTTAGGTGCTTGTCCAGTGCCAGCTTGAAGACTGCCAGGGGTCTGTTGGTAATCCCCCTTATGTATGCTGGGAGGCAGTTGAACAGTCTCGGGCCCCTGCCTCAAGACGTAATGGAAGGGGATTCCCCTTCTAAACAATAGCAACTTTAACTTGACTCAAGAAATCGTAATGACACGATTGCAAACAAACCATACCCCCGGCCGGGATTGAACCCGCGGTCATAGAGTCTCAAAACTCCAGCCCGTCGCGTTAGCCACTAGACCAGCTAGCCACAATAAGATTCAGCCAACTAGGTATATTTCTACACCATAGGAAGGTTAGCACGGCCATGCTAGCTGGAGATTCGTCTGTAAAAACTTGCATTTGTGATCACAGTGGTGCCTGTGCTAACCTTCCTATGGTGTAGAAATATACCTAGTTGGCTGAATCTTATTGTGCCTAGCTGGTCTAGTGGCTAACGCGACGGGCTGGAGTTTTGAGACTCTATGACCTCGGGTTCAATCCCGGCCGGGGGTATGGTTTAATAGCAACTTTCACACTCTCCTCTCCTCCCATCCCATCAATCATCACCAGATCTTCAATAAAGTTAAGTGTCATGTATTCTATTCTTAGTAGAGTAGTAATTGTGCATGTCTTCTTCAGTTTGGGTTATTAATCCTTTGAGGGTTTCGGACGTACTAGTACGTCTTACGCGCAGGGGTTTTTGACGTACTAGTACGCATAAATTCTAGCGCCGTCAAATCTCGCGGGAAAAGGCTGGTAGGCCTCCATATGAAAGAATGGGTCTGTGTGGTCAGTGTGCATGGTATAAAAAAAATCCTGCAGCACGCAGTGCATAATGAGAAAAAAAAAAACTTTGACCGTTTTTTTGGAATAAAATAGCCACTTTGCACTGTTTTTTTGTATGGTATTTATTGTTGTACTCTAGTTTTCTTGGTCTCATTTTATAGAATGGAAGGCATATCACAGAAATTGAGATGATTTTGACTGGTTTTACAATGAAAAGTACCTTGAAATTGAGCTCAAAGTAGCAGAAATGTTCGATTTTTACCAAAGTTCAAAAGTAAACAAATCATGCTAAGCGTCCAATACACGTCAACTGGTGAGTCTAATATTCTTTTGCAAGTGCGCCAATATGATTTATACCATTTTTTACACTAATGCAGTAGTCTGCATAACAGTAAATCTTATATTTTTTGTGAGAATAAAAATTCAAAGCGGAAAGCAAAAGAATGTAAGAGGGGCCTTGAGACGTGACTAATGAAAAGAGGAAATGTTATTTTAGTGCCAGGAATGTATTTTTTGTTTGTTCTGGATCCTATTCGGAAATTGGCATTTTTTGAAATTTGTGTGAAATTGGCAAAATTGCTAAATTCTGACCACTGTATTGGATAGTTGAAAATGGTAAATGGGTGGTTTCTTGCACTTATTCAATAGAAAATATGTAGTTCTAGCGAAATATTCACGTTTTTTGTCGGCTAGTACAGTGGAATTGGCCGAAAATGGGGCTCAAAGTGGGCAAAATCGCCAATGCGTAAACATCGCCGAGACCGCTAACTTCGCGAGAGCATAATTCCGTAAGTTTTCCATCAAATCTCATAATTCTGGTGTCATTATGACCGGGAAAAGATTCTCTATCTTTTCATAAGAATTTTTTTTTTTTTTTTTTTTTTAAATTTGGCCAACCCTGAGAACGAGTTTCTGAGAGGGCCTGTCGACCCTCAAAGGGTTAAAATTAATATTTCATATGGTAAATTTTTTTTTTTCATACTTTGGGGTGTCAGGAACGGATTAATTTGATTTCCATTATTTCTTACGGGGAAAATTAATTCGCCTTACGATAATTTTGGCTTACGATGTACCCTCAGGAACAGATTAATATTGTAATGCGGGGGTCCACTGTACTACGTAATAATAATCACTCTTGGGCACATTAAATGTCTTATTTTACATTAATATAGAGGTTTTCAGTAATCTGTCTATGATATTTTCTTCAAAATTATATAAGAAACACGTTACATAGCATATAAACATGATACATACACTGACAGAATAAAAATTGATGTAAATGTGGGATTTGTTTACAAATCGGCTGTGTAAGTAGTGTCGGAAGAATTACGTTTTCTCTAGTCAAACACTGGGGGATAGCTGTAGAAAAATATTCCTTTTGTATGCCTTCACTCTGTATGTAGCAATTCATGACCCTTGTGGGTTTAGCGCTTCTTTTTTATTATGACAATAATAATACATATCATTCACTCTAAAAATGGTGTGTTGCATGAGAATGGGAGTGTAGCTGTTTGTTTATTTTGTACTAACTTGTACAACTTGTACACAATATAAGAGTATTTGTATTGTGAGGTAATTATTATTATAATAAAAAAAATATTGTGAGGTAAAAGTTTTACAAACTCTTACAAACTTATGTGAATGAACTAAAAATATACACATATTAATACGCATTTATTTCACCTGACCAAGTGATCGCCC